TTCTTTAAATATGTATCTTAAATACTATAAAAAGTTTGAATAAGAATTTCATTTTTTATATAGAAAAAAAAATTGTTGAAAATATGCTATTTTTTCCCGGTGTAAACCCATGTAACCCCTTAAATGGGACATTAAGCAATCGGGGGTGTCTTTCTTCGATTCGTTAATGAAAGGGTTTTTTTTTTGTTGGTTGGTTGTTGTTGTTGTTGTTGAGTAAAAAAGAAATTGGAAGGATCGGCACGAATCCTTCGTCAGGTTGTTGCATTCGAGATTGTAGTTAGACGACGCTTATGCGAAAAAGAAAGAGAGAGAGAGAGATAGTGAGCTTTGTCGTGGCTGGTTCCCAGGTCAAAGGTTCATACCTTCCCCTTCTTCTTCCCTTTCTTCTTCTTCTTCTTCTTATTTTCTTTGCCATGACCTCCACCACCGTGGCAAAGTCAACGCTAACAATGAGGAATGTGCTTAGGTTCACGAGCCGGGCGGGTTGATGCACTGTTACGAAGATTAATGCTCTTACTTTTCTTATTTTTTTTCTTTCTCTATCTCTATCTCTCTCTCTTTCTTTCTTACTTTCTATTTTTTTTATATAAATAGAAAAATATATAAATTTTGTTATTCGTAATATTTAGTATAAGATTTTATTCTTAATGGACACTTTCAAATGATATTATTTAGGATATCAAAGAATGAGAGTTCAAATATTTTTGTGTTTATCGTTTTAATTAATTATTCGATATTATTATTATTATTTTGTTATAAAAATGAAATTAATGAAATAACCACAAGTTAAATTATGTGTTGAATGATAATAATATTTTATAAAATCCCTTAAGAGTATACTGTTTTTATTTTCAAATCATTATTTTGTTTTTGTTTTAAATAATAATGACGAATTGAAACAAATAATCCATCCCCCCTTCTTTTTCCTACGATGTAGTGTTGGTACATAAATTTATCATCCCTTAAATATATCATGTAACGATGACAATTATTGATAATTGTATTATACTACTTACGAGATTTGAAAATATTTTGGATTTTTATTGAAGTAATTTCGAGTCAGGTAAATTTTTTTATAATCTTCCTAATGAATTTGATAATTTTATTTAACGATTGAAAAAGAAGAAGAAGAAGAGGAAGAGGAGGAAGAAGAAGAAGAAGAAGTGGATAGAAAGAACGAGACTAGTACAAGATAACAAGAGTGCAAACTTTAATGTTGCACTATTTACGGTAGCCGTTTGCTGACCTTTACGTCACAACCGGTCTACGTTGATAGGAAACCTGGTAGACGAGTTCAACACGAGATGTTTTTCTTCTCAGTAAACTCTCTTGGAAGCATTCCCGTGAAAGATCATCATTTTCGTTACGTTACGTTACGTTACGTTACTTTACGTTACGTTACGTTACGTTAAAAGTTAAAATTAAAATTAAAATTAAATCACTTCTCGTTATTTTATTCAATTTGATTTTATCGTAATTAATAATTGTGAGATTAAAAAGATAACAACAGATATATATATTTCTTCTCGAAATTGATACGTTTATTTATTATTTTTTTCTTTTTGAGTCCAGAAATTATTATTAAAAATTGATACAATTAATATAACCACATATATATATATATGTACTGCACATGCACATGCAACTGCAACTGCACATGTACATGCAATTGCACATGCAATTGCAACTGCAACTGCATTTTTTTTTATTATATATTTTTTAAACTTTTTAACTGCAACTGCAACTGCAACTATCTTCTAATGTATATTTTCATATTGAATGATTATAATATTATTTATATTTCATATAATAATCCCATAATATATACATAATTATATTATTGCAACTCTGATA